TCGGCGATGCGCTGTTCCTTTGCAGCGAGTGGTGAGACTGTAAGCAAACCAAAAACAAGACTTTCAGTTGTTTATATTCTTATTGATAATTATTGGATTGCTGCAACACGACTTAAAGCAGATTTCTGCAGTATATCTTATAACGTGGTTACAGCAAACATTGGCCTCTGTGTTAATATCTGTAATCATAAATAGATATAGGAGCTCTTGCTTTATTTCACCGGTGTCTGTGTAAGCAGCAGTCCTGATGGACTCATTTTTAAACACGTAGCTAAACAGGAAGTGTATTTGTGAAATAAACTTGCGTCTGTACCTGTGTTTTGGTGCCCACGCTGCCTCTGCTCTTAACTGGGATTGGGCCTCTCTGCAGCCTTCTGGATCTGTACGGATGAACAGAAAGCGGGTTAGGTTTCCCCGTCAGCTCCTCTGTGATAAAGCGCTCGAGGGGGAAATGCAGAAGTTTGCATCGACACCCCCGAGAAGATGCTGACAGAAAGCCAAATCGCAGCGACTGACAGACAGACTGATTGCGTTTGGAAAAAAAGACAACTGAAAGCTTCTGTAACAGAAAACAGATGAATGCAACTGCCAGGAGGGGGCAGAGGTGCTCTTCAGCCAACATGAGGCTCTGAAACCAAGAGACGACACAGCAAAGAAAGACTACCGAAAAACAAGGAGGAAAAAAGGGGGGGGAGAAAAACTAAAGGAGGGGATTCATGAAGCAGAAACCGAAAATCAGGCTGTTAGATGGCTATAAACTCAAGAGGAGATGACTAACTGTGAGCAAATGGAAACCTGTCACGTGACTGTGCGCTGAGCTGCGTATGGTTCGACTCGTATGAGAACAAAATGAGGAAAAGCTCAACAACAGGCAGGATGGTTACTGTACCTGTGGCTGCTCTTTTAGGAAATCTGGGAGCTGAAATTCACCTTTATAGACCTGGAAAAACAAAGGGCCACATTTAGAGCTTCACAGTCAGCGCTGCACGGTTCAGCATCCGGGTTTCCATGGTGACATGTTAAAAATGTAAAATAGCATTATCCCCGCCTGAGTTCAAACTCAGCCGACAGAAAGAGATGGGGGAGGGAGACTGGAGGAGTTTCTGAAAACCAGCCACAGCAGGAGGCTGCCATGAAAGCATCAAACTGGAGGGAGGGGGTTTGCTGCAGGGCACACCTCTGCTGTGCATGTGGGATCCTCAGAATAGACACTGGGTGTTCCAGTAGTCCCATAAAAACACACAAATCACATTTCTCACAAACGAGTGCTTTAAGCTTCTCCCTCAAAGCTGGAGATAACAAAGGAAGGATGCTAGAGCTGCCGAGAGGAAACAGGAGGAAGCAAAGAGACAAAACGATACAAAGATTCACTAAAATGCTTCAATCCAGTTCGGCTTTCATCGTAGAGCTACATATGGTACAATCCTGGTATTGCTATAATATTTTGTCCCTCCTCTATGTTTTACATCTCCAGTGCCCAACAACAATAAGGCCGTGTCCAAATTCATGGGCTGCTTCCTCCTGAGG